CAACACAGAATTCAGGACACAAAAAGTTTCTCTAATATCGAATGTATCCATGAATTAGATAAATATGGCCTTAAAAATGGAGACCTTACATTTCCACTGATGTTTTATAAGAAAATCATGACAAGCTTTAGAAAGGTGCATGAAATAGTAACGATAGAGGTACAACATTCTTGAGAAGACCAAGAGAACCACCTAAATAAACTAGTTCGGATCTCGGTTTCTGGATTTCCTCCCAGCCAGATGAAATCTGTAAAGCGAAAATAAATCCTACGGAGGCGAATCCGTGCTAAGATTTTCACCTTTTGATTTTATTATTGTAATTCTACATATACATAGAAAAGGATGAATCCAGATGAAAAGTAATAAGCTATTTCTAGTATATTATTGTTTAATGGCATCAGATTAGCACAAAAATGGAAGATGGCTGGAAAAATAGGTTTAAAAAGTATGGAAAACAAGTTGATCTACCTTGATCTATTTCATCGTCATCGCTCGAGATAATGATGGTACCCCGACCTGCCACCTCAACATCCGGTCCAGACATATCGAGGCGTCGGATTAGTACGTGATCGCGAAGGATCCGTAGACGCATTCGGGACGGACAACAGATAAGATTGAGACACGGTTCAGCTTGAGTACCGGCAACAAGGCCTTGACGAGAGCAGACAAGGCAGTTTGGTGACGGCGGGAGTGGACGGACGGGAGCCACAAGATGCCGCAAACGTCCAGCCACGGTGTTTCGTAGGTAGATCGACCTGATAGACTAAAGTGTAAAGGTCAAGAGTTAGAAAAGTATATTTGATTGGATCGATTTGATAAAAGTTACGAGATTAATCATCAAATAAGGTCAGTGGTCACTGACTAGTAAATGCGAAGCAAACTACTAAACCAATGAGAACTGAGTCCCCAGTTAAATACATTTGCAATGGAAGAACGTTAATAGCATTTTTATTTTGCCGTTCACTATAAGGATAAGAATTGTGTATCAAACTGGGATACTTAGGTAGTTCCCAAAAGACCCCTCTTGGGTCTCATCAACAACTATAACATGGTCGTGTGGGTTAGAAATAACGTCGAAAACATACGCTGCACTATCTGGGTTCATTCCCAGTTTGAAGTGCAAGTGAGACCTGGATGAGGTAAAAACTAAAATCTAGCCTGGATGAAGATACCTTTTAGGAGGCGAGGCTAAATATAATTCAATTACTAATTCTTTATTGCCTTATGCGAAGTGTATTAACTATATCTCATATTCTGATTACGTGTCTTACATTAAGTCAACTTGTAAGTCAACGATAAACTTGGGATAAAGATACTAAATAAGATTTTTCTCAAAGAATAAACATTTCATCAACTAGTAACATGCATGATAAATGAAACTCGGATATTGTCCCATGGGTGTAAAGTAGTAATGGGAACATGATATGATTCACTATACGCTTA